TTTTCTCTTTGTTTTAAATTCCTTAGAATTTTTTATCCTCCTCTTTCAGGCATAGGTGCCGATCCCAAGAGTTTAGAGGCACTCTTTGCAATGGGGACACAGTACATGTATGTATCCCCCCAAACTACTTCAAGACTCCTTAACAATCTTTATAAATGGTTCTATGATTCAGTATACCTTTTAAACGTATGGGTGACTTGTTTTCTTGGGACTGGGATGCACCAGATTCTCCATCTCTCAATATTTACACAATGAACTGGTTCAAACCCGTGAATGTGACATTCATCATTGTTTGAACACGTCATTACCTAAGTCATTGTGTACAATAACAGTTCTGGTTTTCAAAATAGATATTCAACATTTTATTAGGAAGTTGCCTTAGAAAAAATAAGAACTACATGATAGCAGTGAAAAATTGCCAGAAGTTAGTAAGGTAGAAATGTTTTCACAATAAAACATAATGGACTAATAGTCATTAAATGTAGGCCTATCCAAAAAGACATTGAAGATTTTGGGAAACTTATTGCAGCTTCTATTCTTTATCAAAAAAACTTTTCCATTAATATGGATACTTGGGGGGAGGGGAGAGTTAAACACAGAAAATGAAAACAGAATTGAGATATAAAAATGTTCTGATAAAATTCAGCTTATTGTTTTGTGAAGGTAATTGCTTATACTATTGTAATTTGGACATTGTTTCCAACTTTTATTATCAAGCTACAACAAATGGGAGATATATGTATATATAGTGGTGATAAAATGTTTAATAATGAACGATATAAAACAAGAGACAGAGTACATTTATTTCTTTTCTTCCAGGGTCAGCCTACTACTTCTAAGTAGCAAAGGGAATTTAAGCATTGTATTACAACAAAATCCAAACTAGCCTCTGCCATTTACAATTACTGAGCAGGTTTTTAAGAGCAAAGAACTGTTTTCAAACCAACTGGTTCACACATTTTTCCTGGTTATATTATAAGGACTCAATTAAGGGAGTACTGTGTTTTTTTTTGTGTGTTAAAGCATGGCAAATGAAATTAATAGACATGTCCAAATTTGCAGAGAGAGTTAATTTTTTTGTAAGGAGACTCTGGAGAAACTTAAGGGCTAAAAAAAACATTCAATCATAGACTGTCATCAGAGCAATTAACACAAACAATTGAAGCCAATCAATGCATCACTTGGTGACCAGGTGCTGTGTGAGCAAGAGGTTACACGAAAGTGTCTCCACAAAACATTTACTTCAGTCAGGTATTTAGCTCATCAAGGACTTGATTTATAGAGTCGTAACTCAAAGGAAAGAAACTTTAAGCAACTGTTGTCATTATGATGTGTAGATGAGCTACAATTGAAGCCAATCAATGCATCGCTTGGTGACCAGGTGCTGTGTGAGCAAGAGGTTACACGAAAGTGTCTCCACAAAATATTTACTTCAGTCGGGTATTTAGCTCATCAAGGACTTGATTTATATGGTCATAACTCAAAGGAAAGAAACATTAAGCAACTGTTGTCATTATGATGTGTAGATGAGCTACAATTAAAACAATCGATAATAACAAAACCTAATATGACATATTAGATTAATATGACAATATTCAGAATGAAATATTCCTTTTGCAAGCTCATTCATTAATATTTACAATCTGCCAGATGACATGCAATAGCTTGCAATTTTTGAGTTATGGTAGATGCCATACAAGACATCAGTGGAAAGGAGCAGGAATCATATATGTATTATATACATTGACAAAGACCTTAATGCTTACGGTGCCTTTCTTAGCTTGTATGAAAACACCCAATTCATGAGGAAAAACTACTGCAAATATTGTATAGGATCCTCTACTAAGACTCAAACTGCTATTATACTACCTGCATGGTCAAATACCAAATGGTACTTCATGTATGCCTGGAGCCAACACCCACAATTTGCATCAGTTGATAGAAGTGAAAGCACAAAGATTCACACAATCAGGCCACTATATCTAATGAGATGACTCATGCATTGTGCAGATGGGAAGTCTGTTTTAAAATAATACCCAGAGTTATTGTTCAGTCTGGAGAATGATGAAGAGCAGATGATGTAAGAAACAGCTTACTTGTAAGAATTTGAATGGGAATAGTATTGTTGGGACTGCACATGGCAATGCCAGTTTCCTAGCTACTGGGAAAAGTTAACAGCAAGTAACCACATGTACTAGTGAATAGTGAGTCACCAGCAAGCAATTAACACATGCTGGTTGACACTAGCTCTCCAGCAAGTGACCACCACATGCCGGTTGGTAATGATTTCTCCAATAACAGGTCCACCAGCAAGTGACTAACAGGTGCTGGTTGATACTGGTTCACAAGCAAGTGGCCAGCATAGACCAATAGTCACTGGTGATGCTTGAATTTCCAGCATGATAGTATGGAAAGTTGTATTTTCCCAAATGCTACTTCAGTAAAAAAAGAAAAAAAATTAACATTGTCTAGTTATTTTTTGGAGTTTATAAAACAATTCACAAAAGATAAAGAAGTACATTAAATGTTTAAATATTGTATCTTTTTCAGTATATATATATACATATATATATTACTTAATATTTTGACTGTGCTAGTCACTATGCAAAATTTCATACAGAATGTTTCCATCACTGAGTAACAGAGAAAGAAGTTGAGTCTAAAGAATTCAGGGAGGGATCCAGCAGAGTAGGAAAGTATATAAAAGAAAAAAAGTATGGACATTGGAAAAACCAGAAGAAAAATTGAAGTTCGAAACAAAACAAGGATTTATTTGTTTGTTTGCAAACTTACTCAAGGGCTATCTCCACTAGATACCCCTAGCTTTAGAATGACACACTAGATGGAAGGCAGCTGGGTTAGCACCAATCATCACCAACTCTTTAGCTACTCTTGACCAAAGAACAGTGAAATTGACTGCCACATTATAATGCCCCCATGACCAGGGCTGACAAGAGGGGGACAAAGGGGGGCAGCTGCCCTGGGGCCCAGCAGCTTACAAGAAATGCATACTACGTAATGAACTAAAATGGCTACTGCTTTTTCATGGATTCATGAAGAAATTTGTCACTTAAAAAGCTTTTATGAAAAATCAGCAAAAGTCGATAAATAGAATGATAGGGAGCCCGATAATATTACTGATCCCGGGGCCTTGGCTGGCTCTTAACACACCTGCCCATGGCTGAAAAAGCAAGTATATTCGTTGACAGGTACTGATCTCATACCACACAAATTGCATGTTGATCTCTCTAATCACTAGGCCATGCCACAAAACATGGAAGGGGAAAATTTAGAAGATAATTTGAAAAAATTATTTTGAAATGTATTTAAAAGTTTATTTTAGTCTTCTATCAAATGCTACGTAATTGCAAAGGTGTTGATAAAAACTATTTATTTATTGAAAATTGCTAAGAGTAATTTACCTACAGTACAGTAACAGCAACGAAATAAGGGTAATAATTATGCACTAAACACAGTTACAGTTAAAACCAGTTCTTTGCTTGAATTTTCTGGAGGAATGACTTTTCCTTATGTGTAGTTATGACCTGTTTGGATATCGGAGCTTAGTATCTTTAAAATCAGAGGTCTGAAAATAATCTTAAAGTTCTCTAAAACTTTTTTTTTTTTTGGAAAGGCACAATCTGCCATTGATATTTTAATATTTAATTAGTTTATAACAACCATTCATGTTGAAAACTGTCAAGTTGTTGGATGTTAGTGTTTGCACAAAACTTAAAATTTCTAATAATGCATAAGAGGTGTCTAAGTTGTATATTTAAGTAACTTATTATAAAAAAAAAATAAAGCAACCATTCATATTTCTATATTATTTTAAGAAACAGTCTAACTTATTGTAATATAAAGTATAAACAACACTAACCCATTCTTTGACATAAAGAAAATTGGAGCCTAACATATTATGAGGTAATGATTTTTACTTTTACAGTTTTTCATTAACTTACTTCACAAGTTTTTGAGATTTTTCTGTGTCAAACTGTGAAAATACATTTGACAAAAAGTCTAATCTAATTGAAGTTAACATTATTCTAAGAGCCTTATAATTCTATGCTTGTTCTTGCTAAGGAATATATTATTACTATACAACAGAAAACATTTCACTATAATGCATTAGCAAGCAAAATCTATTTTATTTTACATGAAATACTGTTTAATTGAAAGCTAGTTATAGTGTAAATACAGGAAGTTTACTAAATAAAAATATTAATTCATCTTCTAACTGTGAACTAACCCTGAAAAAAGAAACAGTGTTTAATCAAGTATTTCTCAACTGATCTATGTCTACACGAACATACCTTTGGTTGTCATCATAGTGGATGACTCCTTACTTCATTATGTCATAATCACTAGTGATAACCTTGATTTGATGGCACAGTCTGGTCTCAATTCCCTTTCTGTGACATAAACTAGCAGATTTTTTATACATTCCAAATCTTACCACACTGATGAAAGCACGAGTAATGAAATGATAAGCCTAATATAATTCTTTTCCTGATATACATTTTAATAGTTTCTCAAGTTTCTATAAGGTTGAGAATAGTGAAACTTGATAACAAACAAATTATTACCTGATTACTGAAGTACTTTTAAATATATTCACATCTTTCTGCATGATGTTAAGATTTAGCTAAATTAGACATTTGTTACTGTTCACTTTTACTGTTACTCCATTAATTTTATCATTATTTTGGATACTTATTCAAGTGGTTTCATGTTACAGGGGTTCTGATAGGTCTTACTAAGTAGTTATGTATTTATATTGTTCAGCTATAGCTAACACATTCCTTTTCTGGAACTCCTTTAATGTTGACAAAGAAATATGTATAATTATCAAAGGACAAATGTACAGGTGAGAGGGTGAAATTTGTCACTTTGATGTCTAACTTAAAGCACTGTTGTTTTGTCATTTAACTGTAGAAGAGTAAAGACCACACTCAAAAAATAACTGGTTGTGTCATTATGTAAACTTACAGGTTTAATATAATGTTTATAGCTAAGGTAACAAGCACTGTGTCTTTCTTATCAAAGCTCTTTATATCTGAATAGTATATACAAATATACAATAGCTTTTCATTATCTACTTTCCACAAAAGATTATCACAGCAAACATTTCAGCAAAATCAACACACTAGTATATAAACAATAATTTACCATGAAAGAATTCCTCTGTTTTTACATCAACCCAAATGGGAATACTTACTATTCAGAGCCATGAATTCAATTTACACAAAACTGGTGAGTTCATGCAGCTTGGCACAGTTAAGTAAATGACACTTCATGTGGCTGTTTGGGGAGGGGGGGGAGATAACTTACTTAGCAACTGTATTATCACAAAAATAGTACATCTTAGAACCAGGTTATTCTTGTTGTCTTCTTACTTCTTGGTTTTCTTGCCACTACCAAAATGAAACCATCCCGAACCTTTCTTCTTTGGAGATTGTCTTCCACCAATTACTTTCATCATACTTGGGTGGAAGTTGGATGGCAGACTACCAGTTCGAGAGTTTACCGTCACTGGAGAGTCTAGCAAAAGCTCTGTCACAGCTACATCAGGGTGAGGGCGAGGCCCTTTCAGTTGTTTAACTGAAACAAGGTTATAGCTGCTTACAGTTGACCAATCTAACACTATCAAAACAGTTCTATCTTAGCTTAGACCAATTATGTCACATGATTTCAACATCCCAATGACGAAGAATAATGCTAAGACATAAGGTTTAAAAATGTGTTGCACTATTTATATGAATACTTGAACAATAAAAACGTATACATCTGTTGGTTTGATCCAAGTTGTTCTAATACTGCATAAACAAGAATCACCAACAATTAGCACCCCTTGCTGCTCTAGTCATTCTAGTGTTTTGATTCTACTCACCTCGAGGATGTTTGGCTTTCTGTTTCTTCACCACAGCTAATCGTGCAGCTTTCTTAGCACGTTCAGTAACAACAAAGCCTGAAAGATATGATTTTCAAAACATATATAATACATCTATCAAAATGTCTGTAATTTACTAGTACAAAATCAACTGTTACCCATCCCAGATAGAGCTAACAAATCAAGATTGTTTTTTTCTGTAAAAATTATTCCGTCAAATTCTAATATCATATAAAGAAATATGCCCCAAATCATGTAATAACTTCTGCCAGAATAGTTGCTAAATATCTACAATAACAACTAACAATGAATTGCTCATAATTATGACTAATAGGCAAACTACAAAAAACTTCAAGAATCACTGTGCCTTAAGTCACCAGTTTGGTACTCTAGCTAAACAATATCTGATTAACATCTACAACCTTCACATCATTATGATATTATTTTAATACTACAAGTTTTTATGAAAATCATAAAATCTAAAACAAATAAGCTGATCAAAATTTATAAACTTTGGCCAAAAACGACATAAAAACCTAAAACAGTTGTATTTGCTCTTTATAGAATACATAAAAATTGAATTTTAAACTCGTGCTACACTCACTGGTCATTTATTTTTAAACTAATGTCATATAAAACAAGGTAATTTGTAGCTTGTTGTTAAAGTGTGTGCCCATATATTTTGCTACCATCATTCTAAAGTGTGGTGTTAGACAGAAAATTTCCAAAAACATATACCTCAATGACTATGGTTCAAGAAAAGAACTAGTGTTTGTGAGTTCCCTAAGTAAGGTATGTTATTTTGTTTATTTATAGTTTCTTTCATTAATAATATGGGTTATACTAGTTACTGTATATCAAATTTGTAATTCATTATTATACTTTTACCATAAAGATTGATTTACATTGTTAGCTTAAAATTCGTGTTTAGGACTGATTAACCTAACTCTCTTAAGTCTGCTGAACCTTGCGAGATATTAGGTTTACGGCTGAACATATGTTATAGCGAGAGTACCCAACTGATGAAAAAATGAATTCTAATCTTTATAAGAAGATATGCAAGAAAAGTATATTTAATTAGCTATACAGATGACCAGATTGATTAATATTTAGTTTTGCTCTAAGTACATAGCAAGCCTACTCTGATCAAAAATCATTATTATCATATAAAGTTTTGTTAATCATCAATCTTCACAAGTGTCAACAAAACAGGTATCTGACATTTCCTATTCAGTAACAGTCTCTATTCTCTAATTATAATATTGAAAACACCAAAATTGTGCTTGTCAGAAATCTTACAGATTGCCTCATCTCAAAACTTTTCTATATTTCATGAATTTTTTTTTTAAAGGCTCATGTTTTTTTTAACTTTGAGATAATATTTTTCACACAGATTTAGGGCATCTTAAAAATATGTACACTGTAGTTTAAATATTATATGCTCAAAATGATACTACTTTTTCCCAATGTGTTAAGCAACTAATTTCCTTCATAAATTCATATGTGTATGAAGTGTATCATCACTAGAAATAAGCAAAACATTAACCTTGTTTTTCATCTTCTATCACTCGTTGTCTTTCTTCTCCAAATGCTTCCAGCCATTTAGTTTTCTCCTCAGGTGATTTAGTATAAAACAAGAACCATTTATTTCGAGATGCACAGTAGATTTTCCATGCATTTTTTACAGTAACTCCAAAGTGCACATCTGAAGAACAATTAAATGCTCTCCTTAATAAAATTTAATATATAAAACAATCTACTGTAATAAAAAGTAAGGAAAGGTCCATTGTACATTGAAATTTATAAACAAAACAAAGCCACTTTGTCAGATTGAATCTTATTAAGATTAACCTTAATAAAACCACATCAGCCCAAAGTTGTTAGAAGTTCTCTAACAATCTTGATATCAGCCAAGACCAGTGGATTAGGAGATTTTTATATATATATTTTTTCAGACATTTAAGAATCTGGTTTAGAAGTCAAACAATATCATAATGAGATGACCAAAAATTCCATGTTTTGACATCCTCCTTAAAAATAACATAACATGTATCATTGTAAAAATACATTTCAGCACATTACAGGCAGCTGAAACTACTGCATAGCTTGTTCCATTTTCAGTCTTTTTAATTAACAGCAGCATACAGCAAAGCTTTGTAATTTTATGAAAAATATCAAGTACGATGGCACAAACAACAAAAAGTGCCTACACAAGAAATAAATTATAATTGTTTTTTCTTTACTTTATAAATTTTTCCTGTGAATAACATCAAAGACTGAGATTTTATATAAAAATTAAATTGTTGATATAACTAGAATATTTAATAATATAATCACTTCGCAGTGCCTAAAACGAAATATCAACTATGATTGAACTTAGTAGGTTGCTGTACCAATGTAAGGCAAATGTTGAGTTTGTAAAAGTCTAGGTCTATTTATCCAGGTATTTCTAAGTGACTGTAAAGTGCTGCCCTCTTTAATTGATAGTTGCCTGGCTAGTAGCTTTTACATTTTAATTAATAAAACATATGTTTTAATTAAACTGTGATTAAAAAACCAGAACTAATACACACTTGTCAAATCATATGTAGACTGGTAGAGTTGCATTTTGGATTATTGCAAGTTTTATTAACAGAGGAAACAGTGAAGTTTATTGCTTTAAACTCACAACAGTCTGACATTTTACATACTAATTTGTAGAGAGCAAACACAAAAGGTGAGTTCAGTTTATGTTATCTCAAGAGTGAGGAAAATCAATGTTTGAAAACAAATTCGTTAGGACTATTTTATGTATATTGTTACCATTAAGTAATACAAGTTTCATAGTTTCTTCTATGCATGTTGGGATATAACAATAGTATGTTGATAAATAAAAATAAGAATAAAAATTTTTGGCACAATGAAACAAAGTTTTATTATTTACTTAAGGCAATTAGTTTTAGTAAAGCAGTTACCACCATCAGCTCTGATAATGGTAATTGTGTTACTGAAACTAATTGGCTTAAGTAATGGTCTCTATCGTTGGACTGGTTATTTTTTATTATTTGAAAGAAAGTAATGTATTTTTTTGACTGTAGCATACAAGTTCTACAGGCTACATTCATTATTAATGATAGGTATAACTTAGAAATATACCTAACAGTCACTTGTAAAATTTCCTCTCAATATCTATGGCAAACTCAAAACTGGCTAACGCATTTGCTAGATTGATGATCAATCGATAATGTGGTAACATATTCACTAACTAATCAACTCACTGACTGATAATCTTTCACAGACCTAACTAAATATCCAACACTCTTATGGTGTTTAAATATTGTTCCATTATCCTTCACCCCAAGTTTAAAAAAATTCAAGTCACAGGTCATCAAAACTCCCTCTAGCAGATAAAACATCTAAATTAAAACATATAGTCTTCAAAATAAAAAGCTTTACTGTTTCATCGTGCTAAAAATGGCGTATCAGTCACATCAATTGTAGAATTCAAGAAACTTCTAGATATCGTATCATCACTAGTCAAATCAAAAACTCCCTCTAGCAGACACATCTAAGTTAAAATATCAAAAAACATAGCCTTCAACATAATAAAGCTTTATGTTTCATTGCACCAAACATCATCACTTTAGTCCTTTTATTTAACTGTATTAGACAAGTTTTTCTTTAATTTTAAATTGCCAGGGAAATTTAATATGATACAGGCACTTGCCTTGTATCCTGCTCATGTACTAAGTGTATTTTAATGGGAAGAATGTCTTCAGAATGGAGCACAGCATTAACCCCCTAATTAATGTACTCACAAAAGCATATTTTTTTTTCTGTGGGTCTGATGTCCTAATTTTGAGGATTGAATTTTGTATTACTTTGAACAGACACTGATGTCAATGCTGTGATAATTAAGTAAGCAAATTGTTCCATGAGTTTATAGATGACAGAACACAAAAGTAATGAAACATATTGAATAAAAGACCTCAATCAGGTACATCTTTCACAAGTACAGGTTTTGCTGCCACTGATGAATGTCAGGCAGCTGTTTAAGTCAGACAGTAGTTGCTGCCTTTTCATATGTTAAATTCGAATGCCGATTTAAAGCACTTTTAAGTCCAAAGTAGATATTCAAAGTTATCATTTTTCTAAAGAGTAGAATGTAATATTTAACCTTCTTAGTACTGTTGAATTATAAAAGTATCAGCAAATGTTTGTGCAGGACTGGAGGGACCCATATATCCAATAAAAATATTTTGAACATGCCATTCTAGTCCTTTTGGTATATCCTAGGTCATATAAACATACTTTTATCATTTATATTTTATGAATACAAAAGCCACAATGAGGGTTAAAGCCCATTTCGAAAGAACTGTCAACTACTGGAGATAACAAACCCTGAAATAATATTTAAAAAAACCTTGGTTTTTGTCAGAGTAAAGTGATAAAAAAGATGAATATGAAAGTAATTCCCTATCTCTTGAACAAGATAATTTATCAACTGTTAAAGAGCTTTACGCATATGATCATCTAGTTAAGATCTATAAGAACATAGAACAATGTACCTAAACCAATACTAACGAGTAAGCCAAGAACATTTTAACCAAAAGAAAGTCAAATAGATGTGCTACCAAGTTTTTAGTCTAAGAATGATATTCAAGAAGAACAAACACTTGACTCAACCATCTTAAAATCTTAAATTAATACAGGCACATCAGGTGGACTACAAACTACAAATACCTTGGAATAAAAAAAAACACCCTTTTCAAAAATGTAGAAATTAATATGTTGTATAGGCATGTCTAATGCAAAAGCAATAAAAAGATTTCATGCACAAAATCTAACTAGCTGATTTCACTAAGTTTGATAAACATATATGAGTAAAAAGCAGCGTTCTGACACTGTTACAATAAAGAATCATAAATAAGAAGTGTAGAGAAAGAAAAGGGGAATGTATTTAAAACTTCCAAATGAGACAATAACTAAAAATAAGTAAAAAGCCACAAAAGCGTTACAGAATGAAAAAACTACTATTATTATAATCACAATTTATCAAAAAAACATAAGAAGTTAAGACTAACAACTCAAACTCGAAAATTAAATATAGAGCCTATTAATATGGTACTGAGAAACAAAAACAAGTATCAGTTAAGAAAAGGCTTAGTCAAATTAAGTTTATCTGAAGTAGAAAGTGATGAAGAATATCCAGTATTTATTGACTGAGAAAAATCTAGTGGTGAGATACTGGTAATTAAGGATATGGGCTAATTCATTCAATTCTGGTGGTAGCTAACAAACTAGTCTCCTGTGTGAAGATAAATGAAAAAAAATAAGTGAACTAATGAGCCCTTGTGGTGTTTATGAAGAAAGTTCACAAAAAATATGTAAGTGGAAGTTAATTATCATGAAATTATATCAAGGGTGCATATACCATACCAATGGATATTGTGGAAAATAGGAAGAATTTTTTTTTATTAACCCAGTTGTACTGTCCATAGGGCAATCACTAACAGTTAATGTAATTACGAAAGGATGAGAAAAGCAAAGTTCCAGTTGCTCTGTTGAAAATTACTATCCCAGTTGTACTGTTCATAGGGCAATCACTAACAGTTAATGTAGTTAAGAAAGGATGAGAAAAGCAAAGTTCCACTTGCTCTGTTGAAAATTACTATCCCAGTTGTACTGTCTATAGGGCAATCACTAACAGTTAATGTAATTACGAAAGGATGAGAAAAGCAAAGTTCCAGTTGCTCTGTTGAAAATTACTATCCCAGTTGTACTGTTCATAGGGCAATCACTAACAGTTAATGTAGTTAAGAAAGGTTGAGAAAAGCAAAGTTCCAGTTGCTCTGTTGAAAATTACTATCCCAGTTGTACTGTCCATAGGGCAATCACTAACAGTTAATGTAGTTAAGAAAGGAAGAGAAGAATAAGGTTCCCATTACTGCCTTGCAAATAACTAATGGTGCATAATAAAATAATTTCACAAATGAGCATAATCTAGTACACACAGTAAAATTTACTAAGGATCTATTATATAGCAAGAAGAGTGGAAAGTTGATCCAAAAGGCACTTTAAAACTTGCATACAAATACAAATGTTTAATTCACAGGTGTGTTTGTGGTACACTTATACATGGTTTCCTGTGCCACTGCTGTAAATCTCAAGTCCTATAACTAGAAAAGAATATGCTATTTTGTGTTTGCTAAGTCCGAATCACTTTTACCAAAAATGGCATGACATTTTCTTTACATTATTTCTGATAAGTATGTTACACAAAGTTTTGCAACTTAAACTCATGTCCCACCTTTTCCATCTTCTATGTTAAATATACAACATGAATCCAGATGAACTCTTCCTTTATATACATAGTTCTGTCTTTTCAAGAGATCCTAGATAAAAAAACACAAGCATATTACCATCTTTACACAACAAGAGTAACCATGCCTTAAATACACAACTGACTAGTATCAGATGTAGTACATACAGTTACTACATATGACCTGTAACAACTTCATAAATGTCATATAAAACAACTTGTGCAATATGTAGAAACTATATACTGGATACAGAGTAAACTAGTGAGATACACAGTATGTTCTAAATACAATTAAAACTAGTGGGACATCATCAAAGACTTGAGGGTTTAGTATGAGTCAAAAGGTAGTGGGGCATGTAGTAACTAACTTATATGCAAAAAACACAACGAAGTTATGTAGGTAGCTTGTTTTTAATCACAAATTAATGATAATGTTGGTACTATATTTTCTAGAGACAACAGAAACTTGTGGAACATGTAGTCACTGTATCTTAGATACAGAAAACACTAGTACAGTGTGTAGTTGCTACATCTAAATTCAACAAACAGTATGACATGTAGTATCCACTTCTAAGATACTGCTAAAACTAATTTATCACATCCTGGATAAAGCAACAGCTAATGTGACACATAATAATAATTACTGTGACATGAAGTAATCATATTTTGAATGCAGAAGCACCTAATATTACTCACAGTAACAATATCCCAGACAGAACAACTATCAAGATGAGTAACAATTAATGTCCTTGATACAACTTAAAAGCTTACATTTTGAGTCTGCTAACAATTAAGGTAACACAAACATGATGTTCAGATGTTTAAAACACTGCATAAAATAAAAAGTATCAGAATATATTTTGAAAATTAGTTTCTTGGAATAAACTGATAATACCTCTTTTGAAAATAACCTAAAAAGTATGGCTTCCAAGGACTAACATTTGATCATCATCAGATGTCCAGTTCTTCATATTACCAAATATAGTATTTTTAATAGTATAATACTGAAGAAAAAACTTATCAATCCATTTAACTCAATATATGAAACTTAACTAACCTTTTTACAATAGACTAGTAAGTTATCAAACAGGAAGAGAGTATATTCACGAGACCAGCCAGAAAAAGCCCTGATGATGTCACCTGAATGAATCAAGACTGAGCAGGAGTCTAAAACATCTGAGCCCTTCAAAAATGAAAAACATATCAGTTATATTTCAGTCAAAATGTGACAGGCATACTAAACCAGTCTTAAATAAAAAAAAATAGAAATTCTATGATTACCCTCTTTATTTTAAAATAATAATGCAATTTTTCATGAAATTCAAAGATTCTCCAATACTTAAATAAAGATTATGGTCCGGGTTTCAGGGAAATTAATTTTTGGATTCTATTTTGTACATTTAGATGGTTTTGCAGATTGGTTAATGATGTAAGTTATTTTAATCTTGTTTTTGTATGCACATCAATCTGTTGTTAAGGTATATACAGTCTCATTGTAACCTTTTTCTTCTTATGATGATGGCAGTAGGCCATTTCCAAAGTTATAATTTTACTAAATGAAAATGTATTTCTGATAGGTACTTCCCTCCTCTCACAAGATTAGCTTCTCATTTTGTGTTGCCCTCTATATGCACTTTTTTCAGAAATGCATGCCACAAGCCTTCATCCTCCCTCTGTTGGAATCCAAAGTTCCAACATGTCTCTCATGCAAATCATCATGCATCACCTCTCCACCAATAGGAGAGCAGTACTATCATGTGATGCATGTGACTCCCTCTACACACCACTACCAAACTATCACTTCAAAGTTTGGCAGAAAATGAGAGCACCAGAAGATTGTGGGGAGGATGGGTGGGAAGTGTGAGAAGAGGGAAGTATCTATAGGAAATACATCTTCAATTAGGAAAATTATAACTTCCTCTTCACACAAGATTAGCTTGAATCCCACATTAAAATGGAGGAGGGACTGGTGCAAGAGAAGCACAGGCGTATCCCCCGGAAGCGTCCAGAGGACACCCCTGAAATGAGAGGAACAGATAAGATGATCTGAGGAAGGGTACTGCACCACATCTGAGCCAGGTATCTCTTTGCCAGGAACATCAACATGATCAGGAGGACCAGACATGGCGGAACATTAAAGGGAGCATATCTGTGTGGGAGAGGATAGTTTAGCAATGTAATCTTAAATAGAAATCAGAATCACTCAATCCCACAATGGAAAGTGGGCAAGAGAGGATGTGTCCCATGGTGTAGAGTCGCTAAGGCATGGTGAACCATACTTTGTAAGTCAACTACATCTAAACCCTCACTCGCTGAGTACCAACATCCTCACAATGGTAGGATGAGGATCATACTGTCTTCACCTCAAGTCCCAGAGTCAAGAGGGAACCTAACATTTGACTCCAGGAACTCACAGGGTAGGTTAATGCCAGGGATCTGGGAATGTGTCATCCTGAATACAAGGGAAGTCCATTACATGCACTCAACCCCCATGACTGTGAAACCAGCCCAAAACGACCCCAGCTTGGTAACAACCTTATCACCCAATGAAAAACCCAGGACAGAAGCAGAAACAGGCCACGTAGACATTCTGCAACCCACAACAAAGAAGACAAGTTGAGAGGGGAAGATGGACAACCGAAGACCTATGTGAAGACTTATGTGACTGGTTCATTCGATATCCAAAACCTCACTCACTGGGTGCCAACATCTGCACAAGGGTAGGAGGAAGACACCCAATTGGAGGGGTGAACTGCATTTGGGTGTCTCAACTCCAAGAAATAGTCACTCATCTGGAGGATCTTGTAACTCCCTCTACACCTGCAGAACACCACCGCCCTACTCTGAACTGAATGGTTATAGCCATCTTTGTGGAACCCATCCAGCATGTTGCCTCCATGGTCAACCACTCCAGTGGCTTGGAACTAGTAAGTGGTGAGGACCCCTAAAAAATATCCATAGGACCTGGTGCCACCATGGTAATTGTTGGAATGGAACATAACCAGCAGGTGGCTGGCAAGAAAAAGAAATTGATCCAAAGCCTGACAAACAGCCAGGAGTTTGAGAAAAGAACTCTCATCCAGAGACCAAGGACCCGAAACTTCCTGGTGATCTAACCAGGCACCCCAGCCCTGAAAGGATGCATCCATGAACAGATGTAAATCTGGCTGCAGAGGAGGAAGCGGAACTCCCGCCAACGTGTGGGCTCTGTTCAACTACCAATGGAGATCGCTTACAAGGGATGAGGGAAGGGATATAAAAGTATCCAAGGGATCCCTGGCGAGGGTCCATTGAAGAAACAGCTTATGGGCTCTGCCCAGGGGTATGAGAGGTCATGGAGGACCACATCCCAAAAAGTGCTAGAACCTCGCGAGCTGTAAGTGAGGAAATAGACAAGGCTTTTTGAATAGCCTGTTCCATAGAGGAGAAGGTTGGGGCCGACTTAGATGGGTGTTCAAGAAAACACCCAAATGGATAAGGTATTGTGTAGGACAAAGAAAAGACTTCTCCAATATGACAAACCAGCCCTCTCACACAGCTTTGGCCAGGAGCTGACAAGTGTGACAGGCCAATTCCCATTTGGAATGAGCAAGAAGAAGCCAGTCGTCCAAATAAACATGGAAGCGCAACCCCACGGCATGAATATGTTGAGCAAAGGAGTGGACCACATGACAAAACATGTATGGTGCTGAGGCTAAGCCAAAAGTAAAGGTGCAAAACTGGTACACAACCCCTGATGGACAAACAAAAGATATGGATGGGAATGCTCTGCCACAGGAATGTATAGGTAAGCATTGGAAATGTCCCCCTTGGTCATCCAAAGACCTGGAGAAAATGCCCACTGAAAAGAAAAGTATGTCTTCATGGTGAAGTGAGGAGTGTGAACATACTGATTGAGACAGGATAAATCGATGACAGGATGCCAGTCCCCAGTCTTCTTGAGAACCACAAACAGGTGGAAGTAAAACTCCTGTGAACCTAGTTTGAAAGCCTGTTGTGTGATGAGGTCCTGAACAGCTTCTGACGGAACTGGCGTGTCGAGGGATCCCGAGGAGAAGGGAAGAGAATGGGAACACTGGATAATGGAGGAAAGGAGAGAAAGGGGATAAAGAATCCCTCCAAGAGCACCATGTGAACTTAGACATCGGAAAGAAAAGGTCCCCACAGATGAACAAAATCCAACAGACAAGTATCCACTGGGCCCAAACAGACCACATAGTCACCAGTATTGCTCTTGGCAGATCGTTCGTCTTCGAGTAAATTGTCGAACCATGGCACCACTGGAGGGTGGGACAAGAAGAGATTGGGAAGGGGAAGACTGGAGGAAAGGAATTGGTACTGTGTTCGGCCCTACAATAACAAACGAGTTACAAAGTTAGTAAGGGTAGAATGTTGATGGGCCAAGGCCACCAGCAACTCCAAATACTCATGGACCGAGTCAACTACATAACACCACAAAAACGATGCCATACAGAGGTCCCTCAGATAAGGAGCCTGGAGATGGGTCCCCACCCAAACCGCATCACAGTCCATAAGGTCCCAACAACAAACAAACCACGTTTGAAGCACGAGAGCCGAAGACAACAGACGAGTGAACATAGAAGTAAGGATGAAGAGGATTTCAGCAGAAAACACCCTCAGGATTCCTGTGAAAAGCCTCTAACAGGAGTTGAAGGAAAGAAAGAAAGATACATTGACTGGGTCATGAGGGTGAGATGATGGCAAGAAAATTGGGCTTGGGTAAGTTGGACAGGGTAATCTGGGTTCACCCCCCAAATACGTAGAACCAATCCCAACACAACTGTTGGTTGAAAAAAAGGAAAGTCCGCCCAATGATAAGCAACGGCAGACTGATTGGAAGTCCATGTGGGACGAGACATACTAACGCCCTACCCAGTTGAGAGGCAAATCGGTCCATGTGAACCTTAATATTTGGGGATGGGAGAAAGACTAAATAGGGACAGGAATTTTCATGTGAGAGGGAAGGTCTAGGGCCATAGGAAACAGATGTAACAGACAAAACATCACATACCTGAAATATAAAGTCTAAAAAGACCGATGACGGACGAGCTGAATCATCAGGTAGTGAACGGAAAGGCATGGCAAACTCCGGGCAAAATCATCTGTAGCCTGGCCCAGCCCAAAAGGCTTAGGAGGAAGTGGGGCAGAAGTAGGCGACAGAGGTTGTCTCATGTACCGCTTAATCTCCCGGCATATGAGTGATGATATATCCCCCAACGGGTTGCCCATGCCCTTGGCTGAAAACTCGGCATCAGTACCCTAAATGGTGACTGTAACTTCGGAATCCACAAGCAGGAAACACGAGAAAGTAATGCTTTATTAAAATATTAACTCCACAACTGTGAATTGTTGGAAATAAAGTTAAGAACAATATAAAAAATAAAAAAAAAAAACACTTCAATATAAATGAATAATGTAAAAAAGAACATCTGAACTTGACAGATGCCAAACAAAAAGTGATAGTTCGGTAGTGGCGTGTAGAGGGAGTCACATGTGTCATGTGCTAGTAGTGCTCTCCTATTGGTGGAGAGGTGGTGCATGATGATTTGCATGAGAAACGTGTTGGAACTTTGGATTCCAACAGAGGGATGATGAAGGCTTATGGCATGCATTTCTGAAAAAGTTCGCATATAGAGGGCAGCACAAAACGAGAAAAGCTAATCTTGTGAGTGGAGGGTTTGTTTGTTTGTTTTTAATTATGCACAAAGCTACACAAGGGCTATCTGTGCTCTGCCCACCACGGGTATCGAAACCCAGTTTCTAGTGTTGTAAGTCCGCAGACATACCGCTGTGCCACTGGGGGGCATTGTGAGTGGAGGGAGAGTACATTATCGGAAACATGTATAGAATGTCCAGGAGTTTTGATACATTTTTTAATAAAGTTTTTATGTGCAAAATTTTTAACATTGTGGTATGGTTTTAGACCAGTTCAGTGTTGTTTAATTTTATTTATGGACAGATAACTTCTTATTTTACATTTTTCTGTCTCTTACATGTTGAATTATTGGTGAAGAACACATTCAAAAGCTCCATAATTTTTCCATAAAGATTTTTAATACATTAGAAGAATGTCAAGCTATGAGAACAAAATCATTAAAAACAACTCTAACAAGTCATTTAAAAAAAAAAATAACTTTTATATACAGTTTGATTAAAGTTAAATGATATAGCACGAACTTAATTTCAACCTTACTTCCCATCCATCAATGTTTTGCTGCCACTCCACCAGTTGCTCCAGGCATTCCATTCGCCGTTTTCTTTCATTCACTAACTGAGCCACTTCCTTCATGGCAGACAAGGCACAGGTGACTGGAATGTAGTCAGGATGATCTAGGTCGGTGTACTTAAGTAGTTCAGCTAGCTGAAGTGGATACTTACAGATACGTTGAACAGGTGTTAACAGAAAACCATCCAATGAAATATCTATCATACGTTGTAGAAGTCGACAGGCCTTTATATGTGAAAAAGAGGGCCAATAAACAATGGTTTACCGTGACACTGCATGTAAGTGTTTTTGTTCAATTACTCAAGTTAAAATCATTAAAGTCAAAAGGTCGAAAAAATCATTTAGATGTGAAATCCACAAATCCATACCTTTTCTCAACCATATCTGATGATTGACTGGAATTGATCTTTTGCTAATCATGGGGCTTTTTTTCTTTTAGAAGCTAAAATAATAATTTTGATTTTATTTTTACAATTTTTTTTACAGCAGTAGGCTGTAATTATACAACTTCATGAGAGTTTAAGCTTGTTCTCAAAACATGATTTTAAAAATCAGGTACCCACTACACACTGTGAAAAATTTTGCATATTCTTTTCTTCTCATTTTATGGTCTGACATTATACAATACTACCTGAAAAAGTGGTATTTCTAAAGTATCATGCATAATACTAAACTTACTGATCTTGTTGTTTTAATCTTTCATTATTAGTTACTCATGTTAGACAGTTTTAGTTATTCAAAGAATAACCTAGTAGGAAAAGCTTAACAATATATTAATTTACAATAATTTCACAATTTATCAAGAAATAAAGAAATATTTAATCAATTATCTATACAAGGAAAATCTAGTATCATAACTAATAACGTTTGAAAATGGCATTAGAAGTAATTTATATGAATTTTACAATATGTAACATAGTCTTTAATATGAAATACAATTACTGTAAATTACTTGGTGCACATATTGCATACAATCAAAGTTATGACACAGAAAAACTAGAAACAAAAATGCTTCAAATGCTATCAACATTATAACATCACATTGATTAAAAGGCAGAACATGTTCTTTCAGAGACTTTTAAACTTTTTTTGTTATAAATTTGAAGAGACATTTGAAGAGAAAAAGAATTAAATGTAAAAATTATTTCCATAATTTTTTATAAAGACTGTAATGGAGTAATTAATTCTAAACAAGAAAAATTACAAATCTTAATTTATTAAACCTCTCAAACTTCAAATATATTGTACTAAAATACATAAGAATGTGAATAGAAAATATTCATAAGGTGTTTATTTACTTAGAAACTGCAGCTCACCTCAAAAAAGTGGCAGTAGCGTGAATCACTATATAGCTCTTGGAGTTCACTTACAGCTAAAGGATGGTTGTTACAATAGTCAGAGTAGATTCTAAATTCTGTTTTCTAAATAGTGATAGAAAATACACAATTAGGAAAACCTACCATGGAAAGAACAAAAATAATCCTAGTTTCCAGCAACATAGTTTTGTTGTTTATATTCTGGTATAATATTAACAACTTAATATAAATAAACTTAAATAAATAAACAATAAAGAGGATTTACTCCACATTGAACTTTATTTCCTTTTAGCTCTGGGGCTACTTTCTTTTAACATGGAGTGAAATCTGTTCATTGTCTATTGATTGACTGTTTCTCATTCATGTTAAGAGTCTTAAAGTATAAATAAATGAAATTAATGTCAAAAAGTTATTTTGTGAAAAATATGTTCACCTGCATTTCAGTGTAGATTTTAATAAGATTATAACAAATGACATATTATTCAGATATCCTGATTTAGGACTACGACTTTGAAAAAAAATGACTTTGCCATTACAATCAAAGAAATGTAAAAGAGAACTATGTAACATATATATATATCTGGTCTATAAACATTTTTCTTGTAACCTCTGAGTTATTTTAAGTGTTGTTCTAATTAGTCAGAAATACTATATACTTAAATGTTAAATACTTAAAAAAATGATTTGTATTATTTTACAATATCTATGTATCAATATTCATATCTGCAATACTGCTTAGAACACTGTGTATAGTAAATTAATTTTTTTTATAAAACATTAAAAAATAAAATTTCTGTTGTACTCTTCAGTGAAGTTTACTTCAAACAGCTACTACAGTGAAAGATTTCACTAAAATGATACCATTATTTAAGATTCAACATTTAATTTATATTTTGATTCATTTATTCCTTTCATGGATCACAAAAGTTTTTTAACAATAAACATTGAAATTATTCTATGACTGTAGACATTTTTATAATATTTCTTTGAGATAGTGAGAACATGATTAAAAAACATCTACAGTTAAATGTATTTTCCATTACTTTTTTAATTAAGCCTCATTGCTTCACCCCCCCCTGATATATTCTAAAATCAGCTATTATATCATTCTAATACCAAGCAGACTTCTAAATTTGAATGATTTTAGTATAATGTGTTTGTATTATGATAACAAACTCTGAAATATACAATTATTTATTATGCTATCCCAATTAGCTGTTGGTAATAGTAGTGCATCATTCTTTCAAAATAAGCTTTTAAAAATTATGTTTACATATCAGTTTTTATTTATAAAATAAGTAGCCAGCCCATAATGTTATGAAATTTATTGAATTGAGAAAGTAAAACCTGATTCTGAGGGGGAAAATTATCAACTTTTCTAGAGAAAACACACAAATATCTTCACAAAGAAGTTAGGTGTTTAAATGGTTAATAAAGCATTCTTGTAATAAAAGGTCCAAGCTTCCTTCAAAACATATTGCAATTATAAATACTGGTTGTGGGAAGCATTATAAGAGAATTCTAGCAGAAGATAAAAGCTTGAAAATATATTTACTTTGGTGATACTAAAAACAAAATCAAATATAAGCTAGCAATCTAGAGAAAAAACAGTACAAAATATGAATTGTTGAGTGCACAAAAGATTGCTCTTAATGTCTAAAATTTTGGTTGCTATAGATTTTTGCTTAAGTGACAAAAATAAAGTGGAACTGTGACAAAGTCATTTCAACCAAATATGAGAATTTTGTTACTTGTTTTAGAAGATATAAAAGCTTTACAGTTAGAATATATGAACAAGATATAGCCTCACCATGACAATGTATGAAGTCAGATACTTACTTCATTCACACTCCCATAACACATTTAACACAGAACACAGTTCACAGCTTTATTGCTTATAAACCATGAAATCTTCTAATGTAGTAAAATAAACTTGTCTGTAATTAGGCTGCTAAAATAAATTTTGAAAATGCTTCCGTCATACATTAAAAAGCTTGTAAAAAAAACATGAAAAACTTACCTTCACTGAAGTGTGATGAAGTACTATCATAATACAATGATATTCAAATGAATTTTATCTTATTTTTCACTTTTCCACTCTTTCCTGACATCAGTACGCATATATAGTAACAATTTCACCATATTTGTGACCAACGTTTACATTATTATTTTTCATAATATTTAACATAAAAATATTACTCTTTCTTCACAGTTTACTTCCATAAAAACTAATACAACCCACATAAACTGTTTATGAACACTTTATAAGTCCTAACATTACTGACAGGGTTCAAACTGGCTTTTTAAATAATTTTTTTCTAAACTACTTATTAACCAAATTGCTTTGCTGGATACAGGGTCTGCAACATATAAGCTACACAAAAAAAATGCAAACAAAAATAATATCAGTATTGTAATTAATGACAGTTGTTGTTCCCTAGTAGATTTCAAAAGACTCATATAACAGAGAAGTTTGTATCAGTGAATGTTTCAAAGAATTGTTGCATGAAATACTGATAGCTCTTTTTTGTCCTAGTTTTTTTTATGAATCAATGCGACTTTTATTGTTTTTACTGTTAGATTTTTTGGAATCTGAGGGATTACGTAAATGAAATATGTTTGTTGTGTGGAGGGTAACAACTTTCATAGTGCAAGTATTGTGGTCTATCGATCAGTTTTCAGTAAAGATTGATGCATAGACAACTCTCTTTCAGTCTAAGAGTTACATCTAAAAAGTTAATCTAAGTAGCAGAGTGAACTTAAGAGAACTATGGAAACAGTTTTTATGTCTTGGATATCTTCATTTCCTACCCAGATGAAAAACAATATCATCAATGTAGCATCTTCAGATTCTTGATTTATCTATATAACTTTATAATAGCCAAGTACCTAAGCCTCCCATAAAAATATTGGCATAGTTTGGTGCCAACTTTTGTCTGAATAGAGAATTAATTATTAAATTTAAAACCATTAAGAGTAAGAATGAGTCTATCCAAGTCTACAATATACTATGTAATGGCTTTGTCAAAGTTTAATTATAAAGATTTAACAGCATTCAGACATTTATCATGTGGGATATTTGTGTAAAGAGAAGACACGCCCATAGTGTAAAGAAGAGTGTTTGGAGGGAGTGAACCTTTACTGTTAATGTTACAAATCAAGCTCAAAAAATATGTGGTGTTTTTGATGTAAGATGGTAGACATGGAGGGATGTCTTTGGTGTGTTGGTGAACATAGGCAGATAAGTTTTTAGTAAGTACACCATTGTTAGAAATAATAGAGCAACCAGGACAGTAAGGTTAATGTATCTTTGGCAAGATGTAAAAGTGAGCTGGAGTGGTGTGTTTAGGTAAAAGCAACATTTAGAGTTTTGCAGCTGATATGCTGATTAGTCTACAAATTGTTTAGTACTTCACCAATGTAATTTAAACAGAACATGAGTGATTTCACTCAATTTGTTTGGTCAGTTTTTTTACACCGAATGTTACGACAGATAAAAACGTAAGTTTACTCAATATGACATGTGGACTACACTGCTAGTGATCAGAATAAAATAATCCACTAATTTAATCTTATTTTTCTTATGTAAACACAATATTTGAAAAAACTTACATGTTGTAGAAAACAGTTTCCAACTAAACTCAAGTGTGGTTTATTGTGATCAATGCATTCTTCTAACTTCCTCAGAAACTTCCTCTGGAATTTGTAAATTTCCTCAATGTTACCAAAGATAGTGGCTATTCTTGCAGGTGAAAACATGTCTGGTCTTCTATAAACTTGTCTCAGGTAACCCTAAAAACAAACAAAAATTTAAGGTCTGATTTCAAGTCAGTGGAATGTTATACACCAAATTGTTGGTAAGGACTCAATATTTTTGTTATATATAACAGTAGCATAAAAATACAAAACATGAACAAAACAAACAGATTACAAGCTTTAATATCTCTTAGAAACTTATTTTAATTTTTACTTACTTCTTGTATAACTACAGTACTGTAAGGTATTATCTCTAAGATTTTTCTGTCTCAAAAATATTTTCAAATGCAAAAAGATTTGAAGAAATGACTGTGTCAAAAAACTTTCAAAATTGTGAAACTACATTATTATTAAAAAAACAACAACCAAAAACTATATATTTTTAGATATTTAAAATATTGAAAACATTTTTTGTAAATCATCAACACTACAACCTTACTTTACAATTTCTTTGTTAACTTATGTATGTCAACAAATTATTTTTTTATCATTAAATTGATTGCTTATTTGTATTATTGTTTGCATTTGGTAAACTATGATTACAGATACCTGAAGTACATCTTGAAGATGCTTGACAAAGTCTTTCTCAGTGCCAATCACCTCATGGACCACATTAGCACGAACCTGCTCCTTACTCAATAGACTGACACTTATCTTGCTCCTAGGATCAGTAGCCACATTTCCTGTGGCTAACTTATCCATGCAATCTTCTAAGGTGTCTTCTTGATTTACTCTTAGCTAAGTGCATACAGAAGTAGACAAAAAAAAGCAAGTATTCTAGAAGCTACATTAATTATATTAAAACATCTAAAAGTTATACTAATAAAACAGCTTTTGTCATAATGTAACTAAAACAACTAAAGATAGAAAATAAGACTTACAAGTGTTCCCAAAAGACGTACGTATCTATTTCTGCAACCATTAGCAGAATTATGATTTTGTAGTAGTGAACAATGTACATTAAGCTTCTAATATAATGAATGTTATGTACACCATAGTTATATAATAAGTATTAAACATAGAACAAAATACAGTTAACACAAAAGGTTTTATCAAAAAACTAAAATATATAAAAGATATTAATACTGTTTTCAGTAACAGTTTCTATAGACGTGCATAAAAGCAACAGTCAACATTTACTAATTTCAACTGTATGATCAGACCCTATATTTCTTTTTTATGCACTTTTCTCATTCTTTACACAATTTAAAAAAATGTAAGATGCATGTATACATACAAATAAATCTACTTCCCACCCTTTCTTCAATGTTATTCTTAACTTTAAATACATACATGTAAATGAAGAAAATAATTACTCTAGAAGTCTCTTACCCTCACAAACGTAGCTGGAAACCAACCACTTCGGTTGCTAATTGAGCCCCACCACCAGTCCTTGTCAAAAGAGTCAGATACCTCAATCACTTCACCAGCTTGAAATCCTAGTTCCTCGGGATCCATGGTGACATGATCCCATAAAGCTTCAGCATATGTGACAGTACCCTTATACAACTGTTATTACAAAAGTTAAGATGGATTTATATTTACAACTGTTATAAAATGTTACAATAGATTATAATATCCTTACACAACTACTGTAATACAGAATGTTTGAATGAATAAATGTACCCTTAGACAAATCTTGTAATATTAAATGTTAGAATAAATTATAGTATCCATATAGAACTGTATTAATCCATTCACTTTGACTGGGACATATACTTCCCAGTGCAGTGGGAAATATACATCCTAGCTGAAGTGAAAGGGTTAATGAAAAATAATAGTGCATATAAAAAAAAAAATTCTCAACATATATTTTCAAATAAAATGATGTTTTAAAAATTACTAAAAATAGTTTTAATTCTTTAATATTATACATTTTTCACTAGACTTTCTTTTAAAATTTAATCTTGGATTTTCCCTTTTCTTTTTTATCTGAAAACAATTCAGTTAACTTTAAATGCCATAAGCTGTCCTGGGCAGTAATTTGCAGCAAACAGAAGATAGATCTGAAATTCTATCATGGAATAATTAAGAGGAAACTTGGAAAAAAATATGCATTTATCATAAATTCACTCAATGTATATTAGTTTTTAAAGAGTTTTGAACTTTAAAAAGTGTTTTACATTATCTACACAAAAATAAGAGAACACATAGAAATAAAAACTTACCAGTTTAATTGAGTTTTCTGTTTTGGATACTGGTAAAACACGACATCCCTCACCATCTGAGAAAGCTTCTTCGGATGATGCTGTGCTACCATCAAACGAGCCTTCACGATCTGACAGACCTATAAATAGTGTGATTAAAAATGTTAACTATTCTCATCTCCTATAATATGGGTAAAAAAAACAGGTAAAAGAATATTAATGGTTCAGCTTTCAAATTACTTTATTGAATATAATTAACTTATAGACAAAAGCAAAAAATCAGATAAATTATGTCACATCTTATACATTAATACAATCTCCTTTAACTGACAGTGTAAACTGACATGTGTAAATCTAAGTAACATCAAAATGTTTGTAAAAACATAGGAAGTTACCTGTGAACATACCTTAAAATAATAATGTGTTTCAGTGTTTTATATTAAGACCCTTAATTCTAATATTTATTGATGACAAGCTGTTAATAATGACACAGCTGAAAAGTTTACACATTAATTAAAACACTAACTTTTATTGTGGTTTCCAGAAAAAAAACCTTTAAATATCAGTAAACTTATAAAATTTTTGCTGATTGCATTCATTTTAAATTACTTCTATACATAATAGCTCTAATAAACTATCAATATGATTTTCTGACTACTTTTAACTCTAAATTACTTCTACATGTATTAACTCTAATAAACTAACAATATGTTTTCCTGTCTACTTTTAATTTTATATTACTTATATATGTATGAACCATAATAAACTTGCAATATTTTCCCCCAATACTTTCAACTTTAGAATATTTTTATCTCTGTTAATTATAGTATATGGCAGACTACAATTATTGCTAGGTTAAAACTGTGAGATACTTCATCAAACTGCAAGAGCATTTCATTTTTAGCCATTTATTTTAACTAGATCCCTTTTTCTTGTCCATAAGGATGAGTAAGTTTCAAATTTTATTTATTCTGAAAAAAACCTTCAAGCCAAATAGAGTAAATAATGATTTATTTCCATAGTAACTGAGATACCTTTTCATTATATTGTTACTTGTTTACCTGCCAGTTAAATGTGATTATACTGTAAGGTGAAGCATTGAAAAAATATTCTTCTTTCCATAGTTACTACCATCTACAATTACTGCTATTTTTAAGCATCTTTTGATACAATTTTGAAAAATTCAATTTGCTTGTGTGAGTAGAAATAAATTACAGGACTCCAATTGGGCTTAATCTGTCTTCAATTTCTGTTAAACCTCATTATGATATTACATTGAGCAAAATATTAAAAAAAAAAACTTTTTATTATCACGGATTTAAGTTGGAATAAGAAAAGGTCATTTTGAAAAACACACAGATCTTGAAGTAATTTTCATAATTGTTCACACATACAAATATTTTTCATATTGTTGTACCATAATGCAAAAGAAATAACTTAAGTTTTGCAAAAAAAAAGTGTATTTGAATATTACCTGATAGCTTCGATTATGTTTAGCAAATGCTGCATACTTCATCATAAAGAAAATGTGAAAATAGTTCCTAAAAAAATTTTAATTTGTATCTTAATCAATCATATTTAACTAAATTCTACAACACTGTAAACTTCCATTAATTTTATCGGTGTTTTAGGTCTTTATTTGTAAACATTTTTTATAACTTTATATTCCATTCTTAAGACTAGACTTTCCAAAGCATGTATCTTTTTTTACTGCTGGGGAATTATGAGGTTGAAAATCACGTAGGCATCCCACCTCGGGAGCTGGCTCGAGTCTTTCTTGCTTCGGCTGTCCTTTGAATGTCTAGGGGTTGACTGAAGGATCGTCGCAGGTATTCCCTAGGTTTGTGACGAAGAACCTGTGGTTTGGCTTTCACAGGACGAGACTTAACTGGATGAGGAGTGGAAAATTGCTGGGACATAAAAAACATATTTTAATGAAGATGCAGGATCCCTTGACAATCTTTGTATGCTACACTTTTAAACAATATTAGAAAAAAGGAAAACATGTTAAATTTTAAAATGTTAAATTCAGGACTGAGATGTCACTGACAACATTGTTACTTTTATTACTAATTCTTAGATTAATTACTTTTGGGATGAGATAGTAAAATAACAAAAAGCTGATGAGGAATACCACAGAGAACAATACTTGTTTACTTTACAACAGCTGTCTATCAAGGCAGAATAAACTAACTGGTTTAAATGGTTTCTGATAGATTACTGTGATATAACATAAAATGCTTTACAAAACTAAGCAAATAAAGCAATAAGAATATCATTATTCTATCTGAAAAAACATTATTCTCAAATGTAAATAAATGACTGTTCCAAAGTAGGCATAACAGTATATATTATACCTCTCATTTGTCCAAACACTCTGGTAAAAGTAAACTCATACTTTAAAAATGACTTACCCTTTTAACACTTGCTTTTGTTGGTGAATGAAGAATCTGATTATGATCAACCTCTAAAGACCATCTGTGTTGAACATTTTTCAAGCTAAGTATTTTCAATTCAACCTAAACAAAAATGTAGAAGTTAATAGAACACACAAGATAATTATCATTTACCTAGCATATTTTTGGTTTGGATTAATAGTGATATAACAAAACATATGATTCATTAAACTTTAACTGTCATTTACAACTTACACAGTAATATTATTTATTACACTAATACAGTCTGAGCAGTAAGCTATAATTGTCAGTCATATTTACCATGAAATACAATGTACAAGTTTCAAAGTACAAAATTAAAAAGTCATGTCAAGAATAGAAGAAACCATTTGATAATATAAAACTGTTTGGATCTATACACACAATTGAATCTTCACAGATACCAGTTAAATGAAATTTATACACACTATTTTAGTGGAATAGGAATAATAAATACAAAATAATTCATGTCTTTCCTTTTTTTTTCTTACAGTGAAAATACAGGAATAATTAAGTTACAAAGCCAGTAAACTTTACATCTTTTTCAATAGTTTATTATAAGAAGAATTAGTTAATGTAAAGAAGTTCCAATACATTTTGCTGATAATATGTCCTGTAAATAATACTGAAGAACTTTACTGCTTGTGTAGTACTAGAAAAAAAGGCAATGTCTACATTTTTTCTTTTATAGCAATTCCTTTTAGACTGACTTTTTTAAAAGATGTCATTAGCATTTTCAGAACATTAAAACTAATTTTTACGACTTTATAAAAACTGTGTTTTAAAACCTAATATTAGGTCATCAAGAAATTAATGTCGCGTTTTGGAACACTTTCATTAACCACATCCAAAAAACGTACATCACATATAATAGTTAAACGAACTGCCTAAACGTCACGTT